TCTGACACTTACTGGTCGAACTGAAGACCCAGAGAACTGCCAGTTAATCCAGTTAGAACCAAAACTGGGGCTCAGATCTGTTTGGATGGCCTGTTACTATAGTAACTGCACAGCAACCATATTATTGGTCAGATAATTGGTCGGCACACAGCAAATGAGTTGAATGTGCTCTTCAACAGTCTGCACTGCAGTGAATGCTCCCCCCCCCCCCACTGAGTTACTCACCACCTCACCAAGTCCTGACACCCCTCCCCCACCTGTCACTTTCACTCATGACCAGGTTCAGAGATAAATGAGAAGAATCCACTCAGACGAGTCTGCTGGACCGGATGGGGTGAGTCCCGGTGTCCTCAAGGTCTGTGCCTCCAGCTTTGTGGAGTCTGCAGAGGGTCCCATTGCTGAGGATGACATCATGGCTTGTTCTTGTAACAAAGACGTCACGTCCCAGTGGCCCCCAGGATTACAGACCTGTGGCACTGACCTACCACGTCATGAAGACCCCCTTCAGTTTGCTTACCAGCATGCCATGAAGCTCGGACACCATCATCTACCTGCTCAATCGTGTCTACACCCATCTGGACCAGCTGGCAAGCACTGGGAGAGTCATTTTTTTTTCACTCCAACATTGTGTCTCTGAGAAGGTGATCAGCAACACAAGGGCACCACAAGTTACCGTCCTCCCCCCCTGGACTGGGTTAAACTTCTTTAGGGTGGTGTCAGAGAGGCAGATGTTGTCCAAGATAAGAACAATGCTGAACAATACACTGAAAATCATCCCTGCCTGTGGCTATCTCTGTACAACTCCTCCATCTGATGCACAGCACACACTGCAGTTGTAACACCCTTTTGCACATCCTCTACAGTAAAATAACGAATAACAACGCTTTACAGTTTAGAGTAAAATGTCAATCCTTGCAGGCAGCTTGCAGCTACAGCCACCATCCACCCGTCAGTAAAAGATGCCACACCCCTAATAAGGCAAGCTTTAAGCAGGTGAATTATAAGAAAAGCCCTCCCCCTGTACAACTGTTATAATGGGGGAAATTATCTATAGAGACCAAAACATTTCTGTCTATAGCAGGGGTCTGCAGCCTTTAACACCCAAAGAGCCATTTGGAGCAGGTTTCCACGCAAAAGAAAACACTGGGAGACGCAAATACTTTTTGACATCTAAAATGAAGATAACACTGTATATATTGTTTCTTACCTTTATGCTTTTTGTGAACAACTAAGGTGTGTTGCTTATGAAATCCATGAAGTGCTACAGAGAAAATTACATTTTATTTATGTAATGAGCACATTTTGAACTCTTAAAGAAATATAACAAAAGGAAAGCTGAACTTAAAATGATCCAGCAAACAAAAACTGCTGTGAGCCGCCATCCTTATATCGCCTTTGGGCTTTTGGAGCCTTCACCTGACTTTTAAAAAATAATTGAAGAAAAAAACATTCAGCCTAAATATGTATTTTACCTGGTTAACGTGTGTGTCGGGGCGTGGTCTGCAGCGGCGCTGCAGGGGAGGCGGACGCACCTGAGCGGCACCCGCAATCACGCCTCGCCGCCTTAACGTCTGTGCCATCTCGGGTACACCGGCGAGTGTGACGCTTATTTTGAGCGATGAAAAAATAATAGAATATAATTTTATTTTTATATTTCAATGTTACAATAATCTTCCAATTTAGAACTATTAAAAAAAGAACTAACATAAATAAAATACACTTCAGCTAAATACTTAATTTATTTTCCCAAACCACGCGGAGCCGCAGTATAAGGACTAAAGAGCCGCAGGTTGCCGACCCCTGGTCTATAGGGACTGACTTACTGCTGGAACCCCTAGTGGACATGCAAGGAACTGCAGGGTTTTTTGGCACTTCTGTGTTGGTTTAAGTTTTTTGCTGCTTGGATAAAAGTAAAATTTCCAGTCCTTGTTGCAGTTTCAAATCCCTCTGTGGTCTGGTGATGAAGTGAAGGGACGGCCCATTTTCATTCCCAAAGTGTTAAACTCTGCTGTACCATCGAAACTGTTGGTGTCTCAAAGTGTCCTTCTGTGTCCATGTGTCATGGCACCAACACTGAAAGCTTGTCATGCTCAGCTTGTCATGAGCATACTTAAAAGGGTATCACAGTACCCCAGGATCACATTTAGAAGCAACTGATAAGCTTATTTTCTTGTTTAGTGCCTTTGAAGCCAAGCCAACATCTTTTTCTGAACATAACCAAGTAGTCTTTGGTGCCCAAACCTTACCAAGTTCATAAACAACACACAGACTTACTCGACTGTCAGAACCAGAAAACCAAACACCTCCAAATTTTTAATTAATCAATCCTTAAGAGGATTGTTCATTCAAATATTGCTTTAACCCAGTTCACTAACCTCAGAAAGCATCTTATACATGTCTCTCTGATGTCAGCAGCATCTTTCTCATTTCTGGCAGCCTGTGACTGATAAGGTGTGACGAGCAGTCCCAGCCAAAATACCCAAGTGTGCGCTATCTGCAGAGGGCATGGATGTGCATGTGGCCTCACGGCTTCACAGCTGTTAGTAACTGGATTTAGGGATGTTTTTCTCAGATGGACAATTAAAGAAAAAGCACAAAAACCTGAGGTTTTTATTGCTGTTACCATGACGATGATGGTCCTGTAACCTTAGAAGGTAGTTATTTTAACCCTGGCTGTGATCGTTCTCTCAGTCTAATCAAGTTGTTTTTGTGTTTAAACCAACTCTTCACCACTGCTCGGTCACATGGTGGCTGTTTATCTCCTGTAGCTGGTGTTTTCCCCCTCCAGCCTTTCTCTTCACGCCCTGCAGAATCAGAGCATCACTTTGAACTTTTTACTGCAAACATGGTCATTGTCCTCTCTTTCTCCTGTCTCAACTCAGAGAATCAAAGGGTTTTGTTTTACTTGAGCTGCTGCCAACAGTTTTTGTTTAACTGTGGAGATCAATCTGCATATAATGAGACACTGTGAGGAATTTCTAAAGCAACTAGTAGATGGATGTGTAGATGTGGACACAAACTATCGTGCAAAAGGAGTAACTTTAAAGAACTTAGAAATAAAGAAAAACAGCAAAAACAAAATTGAAACTAACAAATGGAAACAAAACTTCTTAATTCAAGCAATTAACACACAATTAACACACAATGACTAAAGTAGGAGTGTCGTCACATGGACTTACCAGAGGTGCACACAATCATCAGCAGTAGGACTGAAACAAGTGAAACTGTCAAATGAAATCATGAAGAATAATCAAAACTGAAGAAAGACTGAACTAAATGCTGGAATCACAAGAAGATCAATATCAATCAATATCAGTTTTCTTTATCACATTTAAAAGGAACAAAGTTGACCAAAGTGCTCACAATTAGTTAAGAACAAGAGGATCAATAGAAGTTAGATGAATCGAACTCTGTGATGTGTTTTTACTGTTTCTGGGTTTTTGATGTCTGACTGCGGCTCCTTGTGTTCTTGAACTGTTTGTCATCCTGTCTCTTTGGTGGATACATTTTTATTTGCAACAAACTCAAATGAAACTTTGCTGGTATTTGGTCATAAACTGGAACAATACAACCCGATGATGGTCCCAGTTATTAGAATTCATCCTGAGTGAAACGAGTCAGGCTCGTCACTCTGGAGAAAAAGTCTGATCACCAAAGTCGCTGAGATTCTTCTTCCAGGGAAGGTTGTGACTGACGCTGTAAGGACTCAGTCAAACAGAAAGTAAGGTTAGAAGCTGAGTCTGGTATCCAAATGTAGGCAAAAAGCAGAGCTTTAATGTGCTCTAGAGCACATTAAAGCTCTGCTTTTTGCCGGGTGTCTCCTCAGAACATGTTAGACTAACATGTTCTGAGCAGACATCCGCCCCACGAGGAAATCTTTAAGGTTTACCCAGAATGCTCTTCTTGTTTTCTACAGTAAATGATCAGAAAACAGAGCAAACATCCAGGGTACCAATGCTTCCGCTTAGTGAAATTATAATATTTAATCTGATGCTGAAACTGATGTTCAGAGAAATGAGATTTTGCCTTTGCATTGTGACACGTGGAGAAAAACTGATTTGATGACATTCACAGTTTGTAACAGAGCCTAAAAGTGTTTTTCAGTCCTGGAAATTTCACGTGGGCATCTACTGTACTTAAAAAGCATCAAATTTTAACCTTGCAGATGTTTTTATGGGGGCTCTTACACTCATCATTTATATGCAGGTAAAACTTAACTTGGCTTCATTTGATATGCAAAAGTTTTTATAATAAAAAATCAGCTCATCTTTGGGTTTTTTCCATTTATGATGGATTTTGTTTTGGATTGACCCAGTAACACTGTGTTTACATACACTCACTGCCTGACTGGGTCATTGTGTTAGTGGCTGTCACAGTTGGGTTCTCACTTCTACAACGTTACAGTAATACTAACTGTGAGTTGGTTGTCGAGCTGTTCCTGCGGCTGAGGTGGGAATCGGTGCCCTTTTGCCAAAACTTTTTTTAACCTCAAACCAAAGGCGCTTGTTAGAGCTTAAACCAAATGTTTACGCAGTTTTTACCTTCTAGTGTCAACCAGGAAGGTCAAGTCAAAGCAAAATGAATGAATAAATAAAATAATTTAAATAAATAAATAAAACAGATTAGATTAAACTAAGAGAGTAAATTAACAAAATAAGCCAAAGGAAAAAATTCACAAAAGTGCGAAACACAGTGGTCCCAAACTGGAGCCTCACCTCTCCAAGCTCCTAATGCACGTTGTCATTAAAAGTTTATCAGTTTATTGAGTCTGTTGGCATCTGTGACCCTTTGTCTCTGAAATGAGACTGAAATTAGATTTTTGACTTTCGCAGGACACCTTGAAGGTGGAGAGGAGATGCAGGTAGCATCAAACAAAATGATATCATATTACCTGCTGTCATATTTGAGCTGGGTTTCTTTGTGATGGATTCAACACCCCCATAAAGAGTCACAGATTTAATACCAAAAGATCCAAAATGACTGATTTCTAAAAGGGAAAACGGGAGTAGGTGTGGCTGAGGTGTGAGCTGTCTGGGTGACCGGTCACTGTGATGACGCACACGCAGGGAGGGAGAGCAGGAGAGAGAGAGGTGCTCCGCTCTCAGCATCACGTCTCCTCAGTGAGCCTCCTGCTCTGTGACGGAGGAGCAGCTCCCAGTCTCCTCTCCGACGCCGGAAGCTCTCAGTTGTGACGCTGATGGAAGATTTAAATTCTGGGTCCGGAGCTCCTCACTGAGGACACGCGCGTAATTCTCTGTGCGTCCTCGCAGCGCCATGCCGCTCTTCCTCGTCTGACCTCCTCGCTCTCCTTCTTGGATGAACTTTCTCGCTGCCTGCGGGGACGCGGCCGCTCGCTCCGAGATCATGAAGACGACGCGGAAATGCCGCGCGCTGCTGTCGGTGGGTCTGAACCTGGTGGCCCTGTTCTTCTCCACCACCGCCTTCATCACCACGTACTGGTGCGAGGGCACCCAGCGCGTCCCCAAGCCCAACTGCAGCAAGCAGCGGCACCACAACTGCATCGACTACGGCGTGAACGAGACGGACCAGAACAAAGTGCACTACAGCTGGGAGACCGGGGACGACCGCTTCCTCTTCCGCCGCTTCCATACGGGCATCTGGTACTCCTGCGAGGAGAACATCCACGAGTCAGGTGGGTCCATCAGTCCGAGAGGCTGGGGAGATTCTGGGGTCGCTTAAAGTTGTTAAGAGAAAATAAAACTAGAGCAGTGTCGGCTTTAAGATGAGTGTGAAGTATGTGGAATACTTTTCCCTCTTCACTTCAGTTTTTATTTATTTTATTTTTTAGCTCACCTGCAGTAACAGGTCAGACAATGTCCCCCTGAAATTAAAGCTAACAGGCCAGTCACGTCATTTTTACGCACAACCAAAGGAAAATGTTTGTGCGTAAAACCTGTTTTCACTTCGAGTTTGAGCCGCACTGATGTTTGTTTAGTCTTTGGACAGAATTTTAAAATGATAGGATGTGGTGCGCTCAGAGGACACGGCTCTCACTCATTGCACGCTGATCGATGTGGACAATTTAAGTCAATGCGCTCTCATTTTTCAAGCAGAAATTGAGCTTCTAAATCTCCGTTTCCCTCAATAACAGGACAACAAATGAAACATTTTTAGATTTACATCGAAAATAAATATTTTTATGCTTTTTCTTCGGTCTGTGCTTCTTGTCATAAAGATAAAAGTTGACAGAATTCAGGGAATTTGTTAGTGCCAGAAAGGAGCACAAAATCTTCACTCCAAACCACGTCTGAAGTCAAGCAATCCTAGATGGAAATTCATCAGTTAGGACCAGAGAGTGTGGCTGCACTGAGACTTTAACCTTTCATGTGATGGTGGATGATGCTGGTGTGGGTCTGCTCTGTGCAAACATGATGTATTCACACTGTTTTGGATAAATGTGGAGAGCTGGGTGATGAATATGACTGAAGCTGGAACTCTGAAAAGAAAGGCCCCGTTTACCTCCATACTCTTCTCTGCTCTGGTTAGTTCCTCAGAAAAGCAGAAAGATCTCAGCTTAAACACATTCAGCATACCTGCTGCTGAATTGAAAAGCATCATAAGGAGTGCAGTGAAGGAGATGTGAATGTTTTTCTTGTGAGGTCTCTGGTGGGTTTTGTTGTGGGTGTTTGTATTTTGTATAAATTGTTGTAAATCTTGAATTTTCTGTTGTAATTGGTGCATTTTTAGCATGTTTGCATCATAGCTGCTGTCTTGGCTGGGTTTCTTTGTGAACCTCCTGGTTAAATAAAGGTAAAAAATAAATAAATAAATAACACATGAGGCTCTCTGCTCACATTTTCTCTTCCTGCTGATGAGACGTTTAATGGAAAACTCAAAAATTAAAAGTTCAGGTCTTCAAATCACTTATTTTCCCTCAGTCCACAGTGAGGAGGCGCTCAGGTGATGTGCTGGACGCCCTCACATAGAAGCTCATACCAGTGGGACTTTTTGCTGTAACCGTGTTATCCAAACGGTGTGTTGAGGAGGTGCTGCCCTCTCCAATCTCCTGGATTTCCTCTCCTGTGTTTTTGGATTTATAGTTCCAGCAGTTTGTTTCCTGAACTTTGTTATCAGCTGCTGAAGCTGGCTTCCTGTTGAATGGTAAATGGCCTGTATTTGTATAGCGCTTTACTTGGTCCAGTTCTGGTTAGTTCTAAAGCTGCCAAACAAAGTGCTTCACAGGGGAAACAAACTTCATAACAAGCAGGTTTTAATAACTCAAAGTTAACTTCTGGTCTTTTGATTGAAAGATGGCAGAGGATGAAAAACAGAGATCACTGACCAGATTGTTTTTGTGAATGCTCTGATGGTGGACGGCTTTGAACTGTAGGGTGGTGTCACCTCCGTACCTTTCAATAAAGGATGGTCTAATGTATCCTCTGCCAAAAGAGGCAATAACTCTGAAGCGTTGTTCTTAGTATTTATATAATCCGGTGAGACTTATTGTGGCTCCCTCACAGACATTTCCACATCTGTCAGGACTCTTATTAAGAAAACCGTTTCTACCTCAGCCAGTGCCTCTTTACTTTCTGACTTTCCTTCTCTGTTTCCATCTTTGTGATGAACTTCCTAAAACTGCTCCACGGTGCAGTTTTTGACCAAACAGGAGAAACCTCTGCTTGTCAGGGACTACTTTCAGCTGCGGATTGATCCCCATTACTTGGAGCTTTAGCTGTGAAGTCTACAGTGAGCTTTGCCTCTGTGGGTCCTGTAAGTGTTTCTGATATTTTGTCCCATGTGAGAAGCTGTAGACAAACAAACAAACAAACAAACAGGATCTGTTCTGTGCAGAGACGAGTGGGAGTGAAGAGGACAAAACAGTCTGTGTGTGGATCTGTGCGCTGTAACTCTGTGAGAGTAAATAAACATCCCAGGGACACAGAGGTAGGTAGGTGTGTGTGTCCGTGTGCGTGTGTGCGCGTGTGTGTGTGTGTGTGTGTGTGTGTGTGTGTGTGTGTGTGTCCGTGTGCGTGTGTGTGTGTGTGTGTGTCTAACTGATATTATGAGCTTTCCTTCTTCTCCACATTTAAAGAACACACCGTGCAGGAGCAGCAGCATCTGTGAAGTTAAAGTGTAAAAAAACAGCAGATTTTCTAAAATCCTTTAACTGTAAAGAATCATTATTTGCATCAGTGGCACGCGGCATTGTTCAGAATGTGAATGCATTTTTAACCTTATTTCTCTGTGAGAATTTTCACATCAGCGGCAAATAGGAAATAAAATGCTCAGCCTGAGGCCTTAAGTCCTGACTGATGACCACCAGTAACCCACATGGGAGGGATCCTTTAATTCTGCAGAAGCAAAAACGAGAAACTCGTATTTAAGCTCTTGCTGTAGCGCCCCCTTGTGTTTTTAATGTGGTCTTTTAGCTTTTATTGCGATAGGAAGGTGGAGGACAGGAAAGCTGAGACCAGGGGAGCATTTTTAAACATCACAGCACCTAAAAACTATTATTCATGTTTAAAACATAATATATATGAATATGGTTTATTGTAACTGAGACTTAAACGCTCATATCTCCTCAAGCATGACTTAAAATAAGTTATTTATGAGTTTATTTAGACACAAGCTTTTTTTTTAGTTAGTTTTAAATTTGAGCTCTTTCTTTGCATTATTTGATGTCAGAGGTCTCTCCTCTGTGACAGACTGGATATCTGGGGGCTGTGCTACTAACTTCAACATACCCAGGATAACTTTCTTATCTGGCTTCACTTATCCTAACATCTGCAGTCAGTTTGAGCTCCATCTAGTGGCTGTTTAGCGGCCTTGCACGGTGTGAGCAGGAGTGTTGCAGATTCGGCCTCAGGAAGGTTGAATCTGTTGATCTGCTCTAAATTTTCTGTTAGTACATCGACTCAAACTGAGCTCTGACAGCTCAGATCTCAGTAAGTACAAAACTAAGAAAGTCTCCCGTCCAGCACATCAAGTATTGAACAAACACACATCCCGTCACGCCCCGAAGCTTAAGCTTGTTAAATTCCCCCCTCACATTCTGAAAGGATCGGTTTGTTCCAGCTCTTCATTAAATCTACAGGATGTTTACACTGAGACCAACACTGGAACAGAAGCTGCTGATGGAGCAGCACCTTTTTTTTGTTTAACAGGGTGTTTATATTTTTGCTCTCAGTGCTGCTCTCACCAACAGGAATGCACATTTTATTAGACTTAAACCCAAAGCTGCATTTTCATCAAAGATTTTATGCATTCATCTGTTTGTATTTTAGATCAATCCCAACATCCAGTCTAAATTATTTGTTGTCTTTGAAAACTTTGGGATTTGCACTAAGATTTCTCTTTGCTCTGCTTTGTTTTTCACTTTCTTTTTGCCTGATTAAATTTTGTTGCTATCGATACATGTGTATTTGCCAACTGCTCTGTTGCTGCTGGGTGAAACTGGTTGCAAAGAGTGTGGTGCACCAACCTCAGCAGGAGCTTGCATGGAAACACTCCCCAGCGGACTCTCAATGAACAAGTTTCAGAAGGCGCAGCTTTTATTTTGAAGGCGACAGTTTCCATTTCCAGCTTGCATCAGGTTTTTTTAGTCTCATTAACATTGTGCATGTAGTTGGTGTCACTGGAATCAGTTTGTAGTGTTTGGGTCTTGGGGTAAAGTCTGATTCCCACTTTGGTCTTGAAACTTACCTGAACTTGCTCACCTGTCTTCTCCGAGTCAATACTTCCCTGTTAAGGATTCTTTCAAGGAGTCTTACCTTCTTGCCTCACCTGCCTGCAGACCCTCCTTACAAACCTCAAACAGTTCCTGGAGAACAAACCAGCACCATTCTCTGAGATTACACTCACGATTATTTTAAACTGTCTTCGAAGCAACTCTCTGTGAACCATCCAAACACCATCTGAACTGGGTCCTGCTTAAGTGTCCAGCTGCCTGGCCTGGCCTCCACGGCTTTCCAGGAAAGGTGGTGTCTTCCATGAAAACTGTGGGTAACCATGGAAACCTACAAGCAACCGAAACAATCGTGAGGAAGTTTTTTTGTCCAACACCGTGCACCGACCGGTCTGTAGGCCGGTGTGACTGAGGCGCTGGGCGCTAAAACTTCTTGGTTAGGTTGAGGAATGCCAGTTGAGGTGATTGGATTCAAACTGAGTTGAAGACCGCTGATAATTTGTATTTGCACTTTTTAAAAATGTTCACAGCGCCTGTCACTCTTACTAGTCCTGATGGCTGAACTGAGCGTGTGCCGACTTTAATCAAACCATGTAAACAATCCACATTAATATGCAGATATCATACATGTGCTGCAGAGGCTGAATAATGATGAAAGCAACTCCAAACACCAGCTGTTTAATTATCAGCTGATAAAGATTCAACATCATACCCGCCTCCTCATTTAACCTGATGCGTAACAGACCAAAGAGAGTGTTACCTGAGATCAGGTACGCAAACGCCTGTGACACAGCGCGGGCTTTGGGAAGAGCCAGTGTGTGTGTGTGTGTGTGTGTGTGTGTGTGTGTTTTCTTCTGTCCCAGTGATGATGAACTCTACAGAAAAGCCCAGCAGCAAAAATATGGTGGATTTCCTGCCAAGCCCAATGTTTTATTCAGCTGTTTCCTCAGTTCTGGAACAAATGCAGAATACTGGAGATGCTGGCTGTCTCGACTGTGATAAAACAA